ATGCATGATTGTGTCGCCAAACCATCAATTAGACTGACAAGGTTTTGAGATATTTACTGAATGAGCATCTGATAGAGAAACATACTGTAATCATCCGTAGTGAATGAAGATAAAAGAAAAACAACACTAGTGATAATTATAAGTCAATTTGCTGACCGATTTTGTTAATAGTTTCATTAATTTTATCAATCATATTACGTGATTGTCAAGTCATGACAATGCTTTATGACGATATCCTGAAACTATTACGTTTAACTAGTTATAGTGTTGATTGAGGATTAGTCAGTGGAAAAATAGGTATTGTTGCTTTAGGTGATTCGAAATCATCAGAAATTTATAACGTTAAAGAATCCGAGACACCTAATTTAATTATGAATTTCAATTCAGAAATATTCGTTTAGTGTTAATTCTAGTAGGCTACAGAGTTTTGATTTTAAACGTTTGTTTAGCCAACAGCTACCTCAGGATTTAGTTATTTTACTAGTGCAGTTGATAGTACCTAAATTTTTAGTCTTATTATCTAAAATATGTTTGCATTTTAGGCTGCTAATATGATAAACCAATCCATAAACACAAATACGATTAGCAACAACGACTATGATGGGTTTATTGATAAATGTTAAAGGCGATTCAGATGATTTCTAAATTCAAAAGATATGAAGATATAGTGTAACGTATGTACGGGCCAGGTTAACATGCAGGTTGTTGACGTATATAAAAATTTAAAAATAATGAACATGACCAGGAAAAGTAATCTTAAAGTCAAGACTGCTTATGAAACTTCAGGCAGGAATGTAACGCGTTATAAACATTCCATAAGAAGTTACTGCATTTAGCCTAGGGACACTTACAAATATGTGGCAAAAGCAACTGGAAAACATATACATGTTAAGTACAAAAAAACCATCCAGTAAAATAGTTGAACTCGCCTGGATTATTTTTGAAAATTAGATTATTCAGTGGACGACATATATAACGCCATTCGTGAGTAGTAATGATCCAAAAGTATCCAGAATAAAACATGCAGTATGGCAATTAATTCCAGGGTGCCTGATGGTGTTGACGTTTCTGCCACTCGCTCGGATTAGAACAATCGAATGAATTCAGTTAATTGTGTGGTTGTTATTGAACGAGCCATCTAAAATGACCTTATGATTGCAGAAAACCTATAGATGAAACTCACCGTATGTTTTTGGAGTAGTGTCATCCTTGTTGTTTGGCAATGGAACTCGAAAATATGAAATTAGGCAGGCAGTGGTCAGAAGAAAAGATATTACAGGATAGTGCATAGTTTAAAACAGGATGAGGTGTTAGGTGAAGGAACACTGATAATTAGATCCCGATAACTATTTAGTCCTTGATTGCATTGTTAGTCAATGTATACTTACGCTATTTGCAGGTCATATTTGCTAGAGCTTGATGTTTAAACAAGTCCATGTTGCTGAAGCATGTAAATGCTATTAAAGCTTGTTAACGAACCATCAAAGCTAATTAGTTGATATAGATGATCAACTTTTATTATGGATTGAGCTAGTAAGTTATGTGAACTAATAGATATAACATTACGATAATATATGTGACCATTAATCAAAGGACTATTAGAATAGTGGGTTTACAAAAATAAAATCCGATTGAGAAGGTTAAGGTGGAAATAAGGATTAACAATAATAGGTTGCGTTTCTTTAGTTGGGCTCACCAATGTAGAACTATGGTCTACTATGATATTAGTACTGCTCTAATAATAGACCTAATCCTGAAATTGTAGATTTGTCATGATATAACTGCCTAATCTATAAGATCTTACGTGGAAGTCACATCATCGGCTACATCAACTCACTGTATCGTATCAATTACCAGTACATTATGTAGAACAAGGTTAGGCTAGAGAAGGAACAATATATTTAATATGAATAGAAGATATAAGGTAACATTCATCAGAGACCACGCCTGCATGGCCGAATCATGCCACTCGATCAACTCCAGTCCATTCAATTCATTCTCCGCGCCTTATCCATTATTAGGTATTTCCCCGAGTTAAATATTGAATATCTATTTTCCGAGTAGTCTCGTGTTCACAGCTTTGTGGATTGTGTGGCTATTGTCCAATGCCACTACAATTCTTCTGAAGTGCCTGGTTGTAAATTCCCCCCCCCAGAGTTTCACATAATCGTCGATACCCGCTGTGAATAATCGTTCATATAAATCAAGAAATTAGGGGTTCTAGTATTGGACTCTAGGGGATCCTACAAAGACACTCGGTAGCCTGAGAATAAGTGAAGCTTACACTAACCCTAAAAAGTTGGTTATTTAGAAATAAAAGAAGCTAATCTATGGATGGTGTCAACGGAGATGAAGTATCGAACAATTCATTTTGTTTAGCGGTGCCGGAATCCCGTTTTCTGACGTCAGTATCACCATATTTCGACTGTTCATGGTGGACGTGTGGGACTAGCACCTCGTGGTTGGAACCCAAAGTCAGAGAGAATATCCAACAAAAGTATGAAGTTATTTATTCTTACGACTGTTGCTTAGGCAGTTGGAATAGACATCATGCCATCGTTGTTACACCAGTGAGTGAACTAGTAATTGTTGAATGAATAGATCGCAGTATCACTGTTCACTCATTGGTTCTGGTTTAGCAGTTGAAGATAGTTGATCATACTATATTTCATTCTCTATAAAGAAGTCGGCATTTGCACCGCGTTAAGTGGTAATTGATACTTAACCATTTGAGCTTACTGATGGAACACATATTATTGATCCCATCAAACGTTTTCAAGAAGTCAACGTGTAATACCTCAAACTTCCTGTTGTGATCAGGGTTGATTGTCCATCTATCCACTACAGTCAACATGCTGGTTATGCAAAAGTGGTCCATCCTGAAATCATGATGATGGTGTAAGAACAAGTTTATAGATAACGACAAGTTACGTAGACTGTCACGTATCAAGGACTTTTTTTCGCAAACCTGTTAGGATACTCACTATATAGCTCAGTAAGTCCTCAGCATTTATGTTGCATGTACCACATACCCATTTGTGATCGTACTTAACAAGTCTATTATCAGCACTTGTTGTAGGGTCCATTCATGCTACGTGAAAAAAAGACTTCACACTTATCCCACTGCGTACCATAGGTGACAATAAAACTGCAACCAGGTCACTTACATGTGACCGTAGGGAAACATAAGTTGTTAGAAGAATTTTAAAAAAAGTGAACGACCATGAAAGAAACAATATATTCAAAATGGATAAAAATGGCAGTATAAGGTAAGATATGCTAAGACTAGGGCAACAAAACTTCAGGTGCAAATAGTATGGTCAACATTTTTAGATTTAATCAGAATATTTGCTTCGTAATCAGGCCCAAATTGAATAAAAAGAACAGCAACAATAATATTAAAACTATTCTTCGGTGCACAGTTAGCGAAAATTATATCCATTCTTATCATAATCTAACGTAACGTAACCAGGTCAAAGTATCTCAGTTTATTCTTATGAGGAAAGAGATAATGGGATTTCAGCATTTTGATCCCTGGTCACTTATCCCGTCCTAGTACATATGCTTCTTATTTGATAGAAGGACTAGTTTCTTAAACCTTATATTAAATGCTGTCTCATACACGGCAGGTATAAGATCCTAAAATATATTTATCTAGGTCAATAAAAGTTTTACGAATTTAAAAAAAACATACGAAGTTTCCGGATGCAACCTTACTATTGTTAGCAGAGGTTCTGAAACGAGTACACACTAACTTCTAAATTCTGACAATCGATAACCTTTGGTGATCAGTACTCATTCATTATATAGTGATATGAAGACATCGAAATGTCCCGTTTAGACCATTACACTCTTCCTGGAATTCACGTCGAAAGACTACTGGATTTTTCACTCAATCAGAGTACGTCAAGCCATTTCATTTGTTCCATTGTTATGTCTTAAAGTTAGAGAAGTCTTTAATAATCTAGTCTTTATGTTCATCGCACAACATGAAAAACATGCGGAGTGAAGGTATACTTCAGTCAAATGCACAAAAATTTCACCAGCCAACAGAGGAATATGGGAAACATAATACCTAACAAAACAGGAAAGTGAAAAACGGTAGGTTTAAATAATAGTGCGAGTATTATAGCTACAAACATTTATATTCTGTTGTAACAGAATATTCTAAATTCCATACACGACCACAATAAATATAATCCGTTATTTGAAATAAGATATGCGTCTTTAGAAAAATAATGTTCTAAGAACTCCCTCACAGTAATCACAGGTAGCTTACTGTCGAATACGTTGTGGAAGCAAACGGATTATATCTTTTTACAACTAACGTCTGGGTCAATGAAAATCCTTAATGGCTTCGGAAATTTGTGCGTTCCACAACAAGATCATCAAGGGAACAGATTGGGGTGCGCTAGCAGAGGTTATATGGCCACACTAAGAACAAGTGCGTTATGTGTAAAGTTGTAGTAAAGATGCAACAGGTACCCAGAGTTTAACATAGCCTTCACACGTAGCACCTTTATAATCAAAGGATTCCAACCCAGTCAGACCAGAAGTCAGAAATGAAGGGGTTCGATGATATATTTGGACATACTGAAAAGCGTTTGGTCCAATCTGGCTAATATTTGCAAGGGATGTATAGCGCGACGTAACCATTCGTGATTTGTTGAGGATGGGTGACCGGGCGCCTTCAGCTATTGTGTGCCAAATAAGACTAATGAGACTTGCAGAACTTATAGAACTACTTATTTCGGGGATTTGTTTACTATTACAGTTGTAAGTTAAGTTCGATATTTGCTTGGTTTTATCTCCTAGGGACGCATAAGGTCTTATATGAATATCAGTAAAATCCTGCTCCCAGGTACTAGTTAGTAGATATCTTCATTTCTCCAATCTTAGAACCCTTTTAAACAGATCATATAACTCGAGATCTACGTTTCCAAACTTTACGGATCAAAAAAGCTAATCAGATTTGGATAATCAGAAGGTTTAAATGAATACTTCACTGACCGGGTTTTCGACATTTTGCGCTACTATTTGAGGTTTCCCCATATTTAGTAGCAATGTCCTCTCTAAACTCAAATACACTTCAAATCAAGTATATACATAATTCGTAAGTTCCTAATATCTTTATGGTTTTATTAACACTTTTATCCTCCTGATCTGTAAAGTGTTGCAATGGTGACGAGCTGTCCGTTGTCAGCTAGTCTTCAGGTCATTGACCAACAAGTCCGAGAATTGTGTAGTTTCACCAAAGATCAACCATTCACAATAAAATGGATCGACGAAGAACACGATCCTATCGTTATTTCCTCAGAAATGGAATTAAAAGAGGCGTTCCGACTTCACGAGTTGAATAAAGAATGGCAACTAACAGTTCATGGTAAGTTTCTCCTGTGTACTTTTTTAAACAGTATTTTGACTATTGTTTGGGTTTCACTTCATATTCTCTGGTAAATTCGGTCACTGTCATGTTGATGTATATGCAGTGAGTTAAGAACGCTTTTAGTGGCCAACTAACGTCAAATAGACATCGTCTTAGAATTTACTTGGCAAAAATGTTATTGAAAAGCTAAAATAGGCATTCTTTAGCAAATGGTCAATGACTTGGGTGATGTTTGATAAGGTTCTACCCTTAAAAGCTTACTTTACAGCTGCGAAGTCACTGGTTTTATGATATACTAGTCCATCAATGAAATCAAGATTCAGATTTGTGTAGTAAGGACAGAGGGCCTACGGCCTATCTTATTCCTTTTCTAGTATGCTCCGGTCCGAGTCACCTTTTAAACAGGGGCTTGCAGCCTGAACGCAGTTCTCAAGCTTAGTTCTCACTAAGGATGTGTATACTGTGGTGAACATGGTAGTATCTAACTTAGTGAATGTCCGTTTTAAAGCCTAGAGGATTCGAAACCCCTTAGCAGCGACCTCCCGGCAATGGGCCGTCGTTTTAAGATCATGACTCACCGTCACCTCTAGATCCTTATGAGACCGGACCACGGGATCACCGGGTAAGTAATAGTAAGGTTAGACGTAGGGTATTAGGTAATGATGGTAAATCAGTTGATGAGGTTGTTAATCTTCATCGACTGAGATGGTTGGGCCACGTGTTACATATTTCTGAACTCCGATTACTACGACGCGCAATGCTGACTAGTGTTGGGGATGGCTAGAAGAAAGTTAGGGACGGCCAAATCAAAACGTGGCATCAGTGCTTGAAGTCACTAACTTCTAGTCTGAGCCATGTTGGTAGATGCAGACTACTTGGTTGGGGTCCGCGTGACTATCATAACCAGTGGTTGGAGACTCTTGGTGACATGGCTCAGAATCGATCACAATGGCGTCGGTGTATACACTATCTTCCCTTAAACTAAGAGATTAAAATCGCTTCATATCTTTCTACGAATTAATTCTCTCTCTCTCTCTCTCTCTCTCTCTATATATATATATATATATATATATATATATATATATATATGAATCTCGTGTTTACCTTGTGCTTATGAAGTGTGGGAACTCGGACTGATGCATATATGTGCCTGGTTTTACGTTGTAGCTGACTGACTAACTTTCTTATAGTCAATGAAGTTGATGTTTAATCATGAGTTCACGATTTTATTAGTTCTTACATATTAGTAGAATTGACGAAAGATTGTTTGGACGATTTCCTGTCCATATTTATAAATTCATTAACTACATTTAACGAAGACGTGATTATTTCTGTAAAATGTGTTGCCTGGGTAGGCTCCTTAGATCATTATATTGAACATAATAGTCAAAACTATCACTTATTACTGATTGCTGAACTAAATGGTCATAATCTTGATGTCAAAAGCGAATAAAGACGAATTATAAGTGAAATAACGTGAACACAATACACTTCTGTTTCGGAAAAATACTAATGGATAAAATCAATAATCCTAATAGAGGCATGAAATTCCGATCCGCTTGAGATTTCAAATGTAGAAAGGTTTTTCCGTGGTTTTAAACCCGTAAATATCCCATCGATACTTTGTGTATGATGTATTATCGCGGTGTTTGTTCGTAAATGATTTATAAAGTGTACCTGGTCTAATTCTAACTTTGCAGTTAAGCTTCATAAATTTCCCATTTACTTTGTTTTAGTATTTAATGGAGTTCCAAGTGAACCGGGTAAACCCTGTCCTGGCGAAGATAGTAAGTGTTTTCATTGTCAACTGCATATTATAAAAGCATTTACCTTTCATACTGATTGTATTTGAGAAAAATCGTATTCTTTTGAAAATATGAGTGACTTCTCTGAAGGCTCTACTTTTTCACCTATTAAAATACTGTCTTGAATTTAGTTAACAACCATAATTTTCTATTTCAATATTCCCCAATAAGACCCTCCTTCAATAGTCGCACACTGATGCAGATCGGACATTAGATAGGATTGGGTACATCCTTAAAAAGTCTCAACATCAATGTCTTTTATTTATCTGACACCTATGTTCAAGACTATAGTGAAGTACTGCAAATTAGCTCTCCACCTGTTTCTTCAAAAAGCTCGTTTCGCGTACGTTTATTCAGTGGCAACACCATGTCAGTAATGCAGAGGTTCGGGATCGTGTGTTCGGGCACAGAGATGATAATGCAATTGGTGTCACCATCTTGAAACACCGACTTCGGTGGCTTGGACATGTTCTACGAATGTCGTCCCAGAGAATTCCACTTCGTGCATTGTTTGCCGACTCTGGGACTGGTTGGAAGAAGCGGAGAGGTGGTCAGTGTATGACATGGTGTCGTGGTATGAAAGAAAGCTGCAAAGGGCTGGCTTCTGTCGGTCCTTCACGACTCCCTGGTTGGGGTCTGAGAGATGGTGCAACACAGTGGCTAGAGACGTTATCAGATATGGCTCAGAATAGAAGCCAGTGGCGATCCTACTGTAACCTTCTTTTACTTTCTTCATAAAAAGTGGTTGTGTCTCCCTTACCTGAAAGATTTCTTCCGATTGTAACTTTGCGTTCCGTCATTACTACCACACTACCTTACACCAATCTCTTCGTTATTGTTCTCTTTTTTTTCTATTTCTCTTCGAATTCTCATTGTTTTGTGTGGCGCATATATGTTGGCGCTCTCTTGTACCAATATTTATGTGTTCAAATAAATAAATAAATACTTCTGGCTACCACTATCGGGATAGTCATCGCTGATGTGCCACCTGGCGTTCTCCCTCTGCTTTTCAAGCCTGGACTCAAGATTGGTTACATCGCTATCAGCTCGCTGTTGTGGTTGTGTACAATAACCTCCTTTTAGAGTAACTGTCTGGACTCGGATCATCCGATTGTTTGCATTTCAGTTGCCAACAAATTCATCGCCCCAAATGGGCCAATGTCTCCAAATCGGTTGCAGCTTGTATTACAACTAAATACCAAACCGAGCTAGGTTCAAGGGTGTCAACCCACCAGAATGTTGGCTTTCGTTATGGTTGATGATGTATTGACCATGTCTTCACTCTCCACCAAATGTTAGAACACCGTCATACTTATCATAGGCCAGTAATCATTGTGTTTCTTGACTTCAGGGCCACCTTCGATTCGTTGGACAGGTTTGTTCTCTGGGATTGTCTATTGAAAAAGAGTGTGCCTGAGAAGCTTATTGACATCTTGGAAACCCCTGTATACAAACACCTCTCTCCACTGTTTCATTCAAGCAGTTGGGTTAGGCGGGGTTGCCTAACCTTTTTCAACTTTGCTATCGATGACGTTCTGGAAACAGTGCAGATGGATGTACGTAATGGTGATGTGGATCTGTTTTGTGGAGAAAGACTTTTCGACCTCGAGTATGCGGATGATATTGCCTGACTGTAGGATGATACTCAAGCCATGCATTCCTCACATAATCAGTTGGAAATTAGTGTCCATGGGTATGGTATGTTCTGTGAATCTTCTAAGTGGAAATCACCGAGTTGAGGATTTTAGACGACTTTGCATTTGATCATCGTTGTCCCCTAAGGATTGCTGACACCTAGTGGCAACATCATGTTAGTAATGCAGAGGTTCGGCATCTCCTATTCGGGAACAAAGATGACGATTCAACCGGTGTCATCATCTTGAAACATCGACTTTGGCGGCTTGAACATGCCCTACGAGTTTCGTCTCAAAAAATTACACTTTGTGGATTATTCGCCGACACTGGGGCTGGGTTGGAAAGGCAGGGAGGTGGCCAGTGTCTGGCATGGTGTCGTGGTATGAAAGAAAACTGTACAGGACTGGCTTCTGTTGGTCCTGTACGACTCGTTGGTTGGGGTCCTAGAGATGGTGTGACACAGTGACTAGGAACGTTACCGGATATTACTCAGAGTGGAAGTTAGTAGCGATCCTGCTGTAACTTTTCTCTTACTTTCTACATAAAAAGTGGACGTAACTTCTTTAACTGGAAGAATTTTTTCGGGTTGTACACTGGCTAACTGAACTGTTTCTCCCATTATTATTATTTCACTCATACAATTATTTCTGTTCGTTGTTCTTTTTATTGTATACATTTTCGTTTCTCTATCTTTTCACAACCTCATTGTTATTTTGTGGCGCATATGTATTTGGCGCCCTCTTGTACCAGTGTTTACCAGTGTTCAAATAGTGAAGTAATAATAATAGTAATACAAACTTACTTTGATATGAAGTTGTCCATGTATAATGACTTTAAAATATTATCTTACTGCTGATAAAATGCCCTAGATTTTCACGTTTCTGATCAGCACAATCAATATTTTAGGCCAATTTGATAAGGGTTTTCTTGTTAAGAAAATGTTAGTCTCAAAAGTGCCCTGGTACGGCCGAGGGTGGGGAGAGTCAGCTCTCTTTCGAAATGCTCTCTCATGGCCACGCATACAACCACTACCAAGGAAGTTCTACTCACTGCCTTCTTGCGGCCAGGGTGTTGTTTACGAAATTGAGAGGACAATCAACAAAGTTACCCATAACAAATGTTCTCACTATCTAAAATAACTCTTCAATCCAATCTCCAGCAACTTAAAAAAGAAATAAAACATGAAGCATGTACATTCAGCTAGTACCAAAGATGATGAAATATGAAATTAGTAGGGATTAATTAAACAATTTAAGATATCCAATGATGACCAGTTAATGAGGACATATGTTTCAGAGCATTATATTTAAATTTATGACAGCTGTTTAAAATTTTTGAAATGATAATTTCAAAAAAATATTTTCTTGACTAATTTTTAGATGAAGTTTAAGAAAACACTAAACGTCGGTGTTGAGTCTGTGGAATATTTAACTGAATTGATACTTGGTACTGGGAATCGTGAACACGAAAACAGTAGAGGAAGATTTATTTGACACTGAAAACAAATTAAAATGGTTTAGAAACACCACTTTTCATATGATTTATTTACAGTCAGACTGCCCTCAAATACCCTGGTACGGCCGAGGGTGGGGAGAGTCAGTTCTCTCTTTCGAAACGCCCTCACATAACCACGCGTATACAGCCACTGTCAGGGAAGTCCTACTCACTGCCTTCTCGTGGTCATGGTGTTGTTTACGAAATTAAGAGGACGAAAAGCGAATGTCCGGCACTTTAACCGGATTGGAGAACGCGGAGAGTCCACTCAGTGAGCTAAAAACCCTGATTCCAACCCAGTGGTGCACATGGGCTCCAGGATCCTGGGGAAAAAATGGTGTACGATTCAATTAATTGTCACCGGCTACCATGGGACGGCATCTCCTGACGTTGCTCCACTGCCTTATGGATCAGACCTCTAAGTCGAAGGCTCCGGGTGTGGCTCCCTAAGAAAATCACCTGCTTCAGTTTGGGCAGTCGGGTAGTATCATAGCCCACACACAACTCAAGTGACTTGTGTGGCGCATACGTATACGGTGCCCATTTGTACCAATATTTATGTGTTCAAATAAATAAGTAAGTCCTAACAGTACTAAAAACTATCCCCAAGTTCGCAAAAATCACCTTATCAATTTGAACTTCTGAATGCTTATTAGTAATTGGCTTAAATACAAATCAAGTCACTTCCATGATATGAGAAGTCAAGCATGAATTGTAAAATTTGTGAGTAAGGAGTAAAATATAGTTTTTTTGGAATTAACCTCAGCTATTTTTTTTACTTTGATTGAACTTTAAACGGCATGAATTCATTTTCTTATCAGATTTTAAATGTCTCTGAAAACAACAAGACGGCTTACCGGGATTTTCTGTTTATAATATCGAACCAAGTTAACACTCAGCTATTTAAGGCACCTGTTTACGATGTCTCTACGCTTTTATTTTATGAAATTCAACGGGTATCGTGGGGGCAATTACTATTTTATGGTAACAAAACACTTGTTCACTAATAATCCATAATGAGGAACATAAAATCTTACTTTTTGAATCATATAATTTGTAAAGAATGCTTAGCATTCAGCTGGTAGTTTTATACACTTATTTTTCTGGATTTAATTTTTACGCATTTACATAGGTCTCCAGTAGTGCGGTTGTAAAAGTGATCAATATTACTTGACTAGATACATATGCTTTTAAGTAAGAACTATATATAACAGTGCAAATATTACTAGTGATAGAAATGGTTTAAGTACTTGGTTTTCAACATCTAGATCAAGAGTTTGATTCTCATTTTGTTTACCAAGGTTTGAATATCCAAGCAACATCATCAACTCCCATACACATGGTTTGGTTAATAGTCGATTACATTGGTATGTATGCATATATGAGTTGTACTTTTATCATTCCTAGTTAGGATCGGATTTACCACCTACAGGTTTTTTAATTTGTTAGTTTGAGGCTATAATTTGTTGACTTCACTTACTCGCTACTCTCTTGTCCTCTTATATTTTGTTTATCAGTTAATATGTACCGAAGAGGTGCTAAACGATGGAAAAAGAAATTTTATTTATTGCATGGTCATCAGTTTGCTGCCAGACGATTTAATCGGGTAAATTCACTAGTATTTTTTAGGATTGCTTTTTATCAGTTACCAACATGACACAGCTCATAATGGATCTCACTAGCTCAGATTTACTAAATCTTTATCTTCCTCTATATCTTAATTTTTAATATTCCCTCATATATACTTTTTGAAATAATATTCTCAGTGTATTATCCTTTAACCTTCTACTGATGCAACTATTATTTCAACTCCTTTGGGATTCGTCTTGTTAATTCCATCACACTGTACTAATATAGTATGGCAGCTTGGCCCAGAATCTATGTTATGATTGGTTATCTTTCTATGAGAACCGGTGCTTTCAACGTGGTATGGTCGCCGGCTCCAGTATCCTGCGGGAACAAATGGCGTATGAACCAATCGTTGGTCACCGGCTACCATGGGACTGCATCTCTTCACGATGCTCCACTGCCTTGTGGATCAGACCTTTGGGTTGAAGGCTCGGGGTGTGGCCCCCTAAGAAAACCACCTGCTTCGGTCTGGGCACCCGGGCAGTATCACAACCCACACACACAAATATGGTGTGGCGCATATTTATTTGGTGCCCTCTTATACCAATATTTATGTGTTGAAATAAAAAATAAAATCTTTCTATGAAAATGTTTCTGTTATAACTAATACCCGAACAAAATTTTTACGAGTGTCCTATTGATTGTGTTGCACCTACTCAAATTTATGCACATGTTTAAAGATACCCAGGGCATTGTCATTTCAGATAACAAAAGTCATTGTCTTTGATTGTAGTGATATCCAACAACTGATAAAATTATCTATTTTTTGGTCCTAACTTCCCAATGAATCAATCTATTATTCAGAGATTCTTTATTGTCTAAAGGTTTAAGTAAATAAATCGGTCACACGAGTAGTCATCGATCAGCTAGTTTGTATTATTGTATTTCATTAATCTGTCTGTATAGCAGTCATTTATTTAAAAAATTGCAAACTCTGTTTCTCCACAAAATCATCCTTCATAACATCATCCAGTAAGTAGTAACCTTGTCTCTTCAGGAGGGCCTTCGAATGATGGTGGCATTTGTATCTTTCTATGTAGTGTATTACTCTCCTCTAGGTTACTTCTTTTTTATAATTTAGCGTCCCAACAAAGAATGCTGTTTTAAAAGAGCAACTCACCATGACTATTCACATATTCAATGGGTAACGGAAACATTTTGACCGACCGAAATAAATTACTCCGATCTAGTCAGCAGATATAACTTGCTTTATGCCATTTGAATTAATATATATCTTTCGTTGTTTTTCTCATCTTAGAATGCCGTATGTGCTTACTGTAAGGAACGTATATGGGGTTTGGGACAACAAGGGTTTAAATGTATTAATTGTCGTCTTCTACTTCATCGTCGTTGTCAAGGTGGCGTGCGTCATAAATGTGGTGAAGCATTCATAAGACCGACCTATCAAAACATGCGTTCAATCTCTACATTTTCCACCGGTTCCACTCCTATTGTGTGGGATAATAATGGAAACAGACCTACAACCATAGCAACAGATCTATCTTCTGGGACAAGTAATACACTCCCATCCCGTCTTCCTGTCACTATTCAACCATGCAAAGATGATTCAAAGCCACCAAAGCTAGAAAAAATCATTGGTTTAGGTGAAAAAGAATCAAATCGTAAGTCCTAAGTTTTGAGAATGATTTTCTTCACAAATTGACATCAGTTGAGAAGTCATGATGGAGCAATAACCATTTAGTAGATAATTCATCGTAATTCACGATCCACTAATGATCACCTACGTCCATACGTAGAATCAAATCCTAGACCAGTCAGTATATCATAAGCAACGAAGGATTTGACATAAATGTGCGTCGATCTAAGTTGCCATACTTCACATTGGAACAACAAGTGAGAAAATTAACGAAATAAACATTAGTTAAATTAATAGCAAAATACTAAGTGATAGGGAATACAATATTAAAATATATGAAATAATATTACAACTCATAATTTAAAGGAAAATAAAGAATGGAAAAGTTTGCTGTATTACGTCCGATTTTGTGTCGCACCATCTAGTCTCCAACCATAGATATTAGTTTATCTTGTGAATTACAACTAGAAACTAATTATCAGAGCAGTCGCTCACACTGTAATACCGCCATCTTAAGAAAACCTATATCACAGTCGACTGCTCTTTCTCGCTTTTCAGTCTAACTATAACAACCGTAAATTCATTGGTAGTTGAAGGCCCGACAGATACGTCCTGTAGAAGCTGTTGATGAGTAGTGAGTAACTCAAACTTCAGGGTAGTTGCGTTGCTCTTTAATGACTGTCACGAAATTTGAAAACGAATAATTGACCCTTACTTCAGATATGTTCCACCTTATTCTTTTCAGAAACATCAGACAAACACTTTACGCCAACATCCAATACAAAAAATAATGTAAGTATTTTCATTAAAAATTCCGTAAATACATGCTCTCTTGGTTCCATATCTATCACGTTCGTTTATTTGTTATGATAAAATAATATTTACTTTTAAGGAAAAAGTGTATTTCTTTCAAACCTATTAATTATGCTAGTGCTAGCTAACTCATATAAGGGTATTATCTCCTAAGAAAAATACGGTAGAACCATATACGATGATCTATGCAATTCTTCACTCAAAATAAATAATATAGTCATATTGTCAAATATTTCTTCGTTCTAAACAAGCTCTGTTGTTGTAATTAGCCTTCCATTCACGACATATAATATACGAATACTATGTTCGTTGATGGATGGTATTACATAGGGTATGTGACGAAGTCTCAGCATGGACACAGAAGGCTCGACTAGCTCTTGCCAACTTGCGTCATTTATGGCGTAGGCGAAATATCCGTCTATCAACCAAAGAATGTGTTTACTGTGCAGCAGTTCGTTCCGTCCTACTTTATGGCAGTGAAACATGGTCGGTAAGAGTAGAGGATATTCGTAGGTTACTAGTATTTGATCATAGGTGTCTTCGAAACATTGCTCGTATATCCTGGGACCATCGAGTAAGTAACGCAGTTGTTAGGAAACGGGTACTAGGTAAGGATGGCAAATCAATTGATGAAGTAGTGAAACTTCATCAGTTGAGATGGCTGGGACACGTGTTACGTATGCCCAACGACCGACTGCCTCGACGTGCGATGTTCAGTGGTATAGGAGTAGGTTGGAAGAAAGTTAGGGACGGCCAGACCAAAACATGGCACAAGTTCATGAAGTCACTGACAAGTGAACTGAGTCATGTTGGTAGGTGTAGACTACCTGGTTGGGGATAGCGAGATGATAGCAACCGATGGTTAGAGACCCTGAATGGCATGGCTCAGGCGCATCCACTCTTTGTGTTCTCCCAAATTCTAATATCCTGATTCCTCCTTGTCTCTTTTTTTCTCATCCCAAATTTATTTCACTGCATTATACTCCTTGAATAACATCTCCAAACCCTAATCTTTCCGATTACTGCTTATACTCTTACTACCTCTACCACTATGGGATTTGAATCGACAACTGCATCTCTGTGCTAATGTGGTATGGTAACTGGAACTGATGTACGTACGTACGAAGTTCTACGTTGCTACTGATTGACATTTGAAAGGTAATTCGTAAAATAAGGCACATCTACTCAAAATATTCCATGAATTAATGTTTCTAATCTCCGTTTGTTTTACTTATGCTAAATTTTTTTTTAGCTCAAATCAGGTTCAGACAACTTAATAATTGAAACAAGTGGTGGTGTTCACCCTAGTAGTGTACCAGTTCCCGTTTCAATCATCACTGATAAAGTTGACGATAAGTCCATACCAATCATAGAACAGCGCATTATAGATATTCCTGATATTCCAATCACTTCTGGACGGGTTGGTTTACATGATTTCAATTTACTCAAAGTGATTGGTCGTGGTAGTTATGCTAAAGTATTTCAAGTAGAGCATAAACCAACTAATCGTATATATGCAATGAAAGTTATTAAAAAAGAAACTATTCTGGATGAAGAGGTACGTTTGGTTTGTACTTTCGGTAATTTAACAAATGCTTTTGGACTAACGGTTTTCCATACCTTTTGCAAATATGTAGAACGAAAGTCACTAAATATAGACTTAGTTTTAACAAATGTTTATCCATCATTCTCTGGCAGTGGTTGTATGCACATGACCATATGAGAGCACTTCGAGAGGGGGAGTATACTCTCCCCACTCTCGAGTGTACCAAGGCATTTCGGGACTGTCAGATGTTCACTGAATATATGTTTCGCAATGCTTCGGAATTTACTCAGAGTTTCGACTTTCCTGCATCGAACATGTGACTATCTAGGTTCATTAACTATAATATATGTAAAAATTAGACATAAATCGATCTTCACCACTTTACATTTTTCTGGTTCCATTATTACCTATGAGTTTTTCTGTGACTCATTTGTTTACTGACAGTGTTCATATAAACAAAGCACTAAACATAACATCAAGCTCCAAAACCCAACCGCTTCTATAGTTTTCGTTTTTCTCTAGGTTTGAGTAATTTTAATAAATGGATGTCTCATGAATTCAGCCGCATCACGTAGGCCAAAATACTCCTTATCACTTCTAAAAACATATTAGTATCCGATAATGTTTTATTTATTGCGACATAACTATACCAAATGAGTCTGCCATTTCGTGAGCCTAAATTACTTTTACAAGGGCATATAAGTGAAAGCTGAGCACACAAACGTTAGTATGATTGTTGAATATTACTAGTTGTAGGAAGCAATTTCCCACAGATTCAACTCTAAGCTAATCTCTAGAATGTCGAATACAGAGTCTTGGTTTAGCCAAAGTCAGAACAAGCAAGCTATTTGGCTAGATAAACTTTATCTGTTTCTAAAACATAAATTAACATCGTTAGTGTACAAACAAACAGTACGGTCTATTAATACAGGGAAAAACAGACAAATAACATACCGAACAGTAGCCAGAGAATAGGAAAAATGAGTCAACAAGCCAATATTGTTTTACAATGAACATTAAACTGTGGTTGGTTAATAAAGAGATACAGTCGTACAAGGTCAAAAGGAGTTGATGTGGTGGTGGGCGTTTCACTTATTATTGGTGGGTTCGTCTATCAATCACATTTTACACTCCCCCCGAAACGCGCACCACGTCCGTTGTCCAGGGTCGTCGTCGCCGTCAGACAGCCGGCTCCTTCTAGTAGACATAAGCGTCGTACGTCCCGAGCAGTTTCTTCGTTTGCGGTTCTCAATTTTGCCGTACCAACTTGTCCGTCAAAGCCATAGCTTACTTGTTTGACAATAGCTTTGGACCATAGACTTCTCAGTGAGCCAACATTGTTTAATAACACTAAGTCTCTCGAAGACTCATCCATCAATACCTTCTGAAACAATAGTGATCGTAGAATTCTTCTTACCGACTTTATGATGCGTCCCCATACACCGTCTCGTTGACTAGACCTCGGAAGTTTAAAGCGCCATTCGTAACCTCTCTCTAAAAGGGCATTTACTGTCTTATTCCATCTGTCTAAGAATAGCATTGGATCCTATAGAACTACCAGATGCACCCTTACTCTTGTTCACAACTCGTACAAGGGCGCCTTTCTCAACACCATCCTCGATACTACGGCGAATATGTGCTACCTGCTTCTTCAGGGTCTTAGTTACTTATTATTATTATTATTATTATTTGAACACATGAATATTGGTACAAGAGAGCGCCAATATATATGCGCCACACAAAACAATGAAAATTCGAAGAGAAGTACAAAAAAAATTAAGGAGCGCAAAAGAAAAAGAGAACAACAACGAAGAGATTGGTGTAAGGTAGTGTGGTAGTAACGAGGGAACGAAAAGGTACAATCAGAAGAAATCTTTCAGGTAAGGGAGACACAACCACTTTTTATGAAGAAAGTAAAAGAAGGTTACAGTAGGATCGCCACTGGCTTCTATTCTGAGCCATATCTGATAACGTCTCTAGCCACTGTGTAGCACCATCTCTCAGACCCCAACCAGGGAGTCGTGAAGGACCGACAGAAGCCAGCCCTTTGCAGCTTTCTTTCATACCACGACACCATGTCATGCACTGACCACCTCTCCGCTTCTTCCAACCAGTCCCAGAGTCGGCAAACAATGCACGAAGTGGAATTCTCTGGGACGACATTCGTAGAACATGTCCAAGCCACCGAAGTCGGTGTTTCAAGATGGTGACACCAATTGCATTATCATCTCTGTGCCCGAACACACGATGCCGAACCTCTGCATTACTGACATGGTGTTGCCACTGAATGTCAGCAATCCTTCGCAGACAGCGATGATCGAACACAGAGAGTCGTCTAACGTCCTCAACTCGGAGAGACCAGGTTTCACAAGCATAGAGCAGAACTGCTCTCACCGACGCGTTGTAGATCCGACCTTTTACAGCCAGACTAACATCACGAAGGCGCCAGAGGTGGCCCAGATTGGCATAAGCCGCTCTGGCTTTCACTGTTCGTACATTGATCTCATCACACACACCCCCACCAGCACTTATGCAGCTACCCAGATACACGAACTTCTCGACTACGTCTATCTGCTCACCATCCATGGTGAGTACAGGATTGGAATCCTGCCAGTCTTGTAGGAGTACTTTGCACTTGGAAGGTGCAAAGCACATACCATACCTACGGACACTGATTGCCAACTGATTAAGTGCGGATTGCATGCCTTGAGCATTATCGCAGAGTAAGACAATATCATCCGCATACTCAAGTTCGAGAGGTCTTTCTCCAGGCAACAGATCCACACCGCCATTACTTACATCCATCAGAGCTGTTTCCAGAATGTCATCGACGGCAAAGTTGAAGAGGAATGGTGAGATTGGGCAACCCTGCCTAACCCCACTACTCGAATGGAACAATGGAGAGAGGTGGTTGTATGCCCTCACTCTGCCTGAGGTGTTTGTATATAGGGCTTTTAGGATGTTAATAAACTTCTCAGGCACACCCTTCTTCAATAGACAATCCCAGAGAACAGTCCTGTCCAACGAATCGAAGGCAGCCCTGATGTCAAGAAACACTACGATTGTTGGCCTTTGATAAGTATGGCGGTGTTCTAACATTTGGCGGAGGGTGAAGATATGATCAATACATCCTCGACCAGAACGAAACCCAGCCTGCTCCTCGCTAGTCAATCTTTCTCGGGTTTTGAACAACCTACGAAGAATGACGGAAGTTAATAGCTTGGACGCAATCGGAAGTAGACTTATCCCCCGATAGTTGTTACAGGAACGATGTGAACCCTTTTTAAAGATAGGGACAACTATCAACTCATTCCATGACGTTGGAACACTCTCTAGTTCCCAAACCTTTGTAAACAACGTCGTCAATTCCTTAGTCAAAAAGTCACCACCATCTTTAAAAAGAGCAGGAGGTAAGTCATCTCGGCCTGGTGATTTGTAACGCTTCAAGAGTTGGAGTTCCTTGCGGACTTCCTCCTCATTTGGTGGATCAGTCGTCACCGGCCATGGAGGGCAGGACAGTCTGACTGATGTTGCTGGAGCAGCAGGCCAGTTGAACTGCCCTTCGAAAAATTCTGCCCATCGTCCAAGACGTCGATGGATGTTAGTGATTGGCATCCCATCATCAACATCGAGGTGCACAGAACAAGCTGTGAAACACATATGGGGAAATTCGAACACTTCACTTCTATCTGAAGTTTGTGCTGATGATGTCGTTCAGAAGAACGATGAAAGCTCCACGACCATCCCATCATCCTCGCAGAACCAGACTTCTTGCTGCCAGTGGCTCGGATGAGTTGGAAGAGCTTCCGGTAGTTACCAGATGCAGCTTATTGTGAATCGCGAGTTGGCTACTCTAATTTCTACCAATTGACAAAGCTTCAGATATCCCAGTTCGACCCCAATACTGTTCCCAATCTCCAATATATCAGAACACGAACCGTAGATGGAAAATCGTTTATGGGGTCAGGAGCAGCAGAATAATGATTTACAAACAAATGCATATTTATATTGACCAACAGAAAGATGACACGTTCAATAATATTGACCAATAGAAAAATGACACGCGAAATAAATATTGATCAGTAGGGAAACGACCAATAGGGAAATGACACCATTTAACGTTCAAGGGTAGCGTTAGACTTAACCGGATAATTGTTTCTGGGATATTCTTCTGAGTATCCCAACACCTCCCCTTTGGAGAAGTTAATAGCGACGTAACCGAGGGTTTACTTGAAGTTTCTTTGGGTGTCTTCTTTTGCGATCCGACCTCCGAGGCAACCACACAGAACCAGAGGGATGTTCTACTTGAGTAGATGACTTAGTCGTCTCTGTTGGAGGTATTGGCGGAAGTTGAAACGTGTCCAACAGCAAGTCGAGTGGGACATGTTTTGTAATTGCTTCTTTCTCCTTCGCTTTCCTTGACCTGAGTTGATTGTGGTGCCTGGTCCAGATTTCTTGGTTCACCTTGACATCATACATGACGTTCCCATGTTTTTGTGTGATTTCACCCTCTACCCATTTATCACATCCATGTCTATAATCTCGCGCATACACTTTTGTACCAACTTCGTAGAGAATTCGAGTATTCTTCATCTGGGGGCTTTGCTGGGCCACTTGCTTGGGTTTCATCGCACCATGAACTGTCCGTAGCTTTCGCCCCATAAGCATCTCAGCAGGGGATTTGGAGTTTGGCAATAAGTCATGCGGGGTCGTCCGGTACGCAACTAGAAATCGTTCTATGATATCTTCTGTAGTCCCCTCCCCTCGTGCTTTAAGCATGGCTCGTTTAAATGTATCAACGAACCTTTCAGCTTGTCCATTAGATTGCGGGTGATATGGCGGAGAACGAACATGGTTGATCGAATTTTGCAGGCAAAATTCTCGGAATTGGCTAGATGTAAATTGTGAACCATTGTCTGTTACTATTGTTTCTGGAAGACCATGCTGAGCGAAGATCCGATTAAGGAGTTTGATGGTTCGAGTTGTAGAGGGTGGCGCAATCGGCAATATCT